TTAATTGGCCAACTGATATGTATATAAAAAAAATTAGCCGGGCATGGTGGCGCATGCCTGTAGTCCCAGCTACCCGGGAGGCTGAGGCAGGAGGATCTCTCGAGCCCAGGAGTGTGAGGTTGCTGTGAGCTAGGCTGACGCCACTGCACTCACTCTAGCCTGGACAACAAAGCGAGACTCTGTCTCAAAAAAACAAACAAACAAACAAAAAAACCACATTTATATTTTCTAACACATGCCCCATCCCCATTAAAAATGTTCTACATGTCATACTCTTTTACCCTTTTAGACTTACTTGTCACCTTTTTAGAGGTGACAACCTTTTTAGGTTGTCTTACTTTTTTACTTAGGTAGACTTGCTTTTTTCTTTTCCTTTAAATTATTGTATGAACTTTACAAGCTATTCTTAGTTCTGTCCATCAACTGCTGCAGTAAATATTTTAAGATAATATTCTGGAGAAATGAGGAAAGTCAAACATGTGAATGTAACACACTCTTTTTCGGTCCCTATTATTATAGGCACGCACTATTTGGTGAAGAAACTGCTAGGTGTATCGTTGTGGGTGATAATGTTGAGTGGAGTAACGAAAATCCAACTTGCACAGGTAAGAGTTGATAAAAATCTACGCACTCAGGTTGTGGTGCTGAATGATAAATAATAAATTACTTTCCGCTAATTAAGAATTATCCACTGTGTATATTTGTAGCACCCTCACCTTTGAGTGTCTTTCCTAATTTAAAGACCTTTTCTAGTGATGTTCCTTCATGTATTACCTGTAGAGATAAACCATTAAACTTTTTTTAGCCCCAATAGGATGAAAATTAAAAACAAACTTAGATTTCTATTGTGCTTGGTCATTGATTATATCACCAGCCTTTCTAAAGTCAAATAAGTTACATAGGGGATTCCCAATACCATTTTTGGAAGAAAATACTGCCATTGAGACAGTCAGTGTCACTTGACCCCACATCCTAAGACCATATGGCAATAGAACGTGTTTAAGCTAGGATTCTTACTTCAAACCCGTCGTTTTTCTAAGACCCAGAGTTATCTACATGATTCTTCTTAGGATTACAGTTATTAACTGAGATAATTATCTAGAAGTGTTTTAAGTATTATGCCATGAAAAAGAAGTATGGTTTCTGCACTTGAGAATCTTAACTTCTCAAAGAAAGACAGGACACAGAAATAATATCATAAATGGATATACCCAGTCAACTTTATGTCCATTAGAGACACATGTCTCTTGAAAATTGAGAGGAGAAAAAACATGCAGGCCTTTAAAATGGTTTATTTCTCTCATCCTTTTTTCTTTACACTCAACTTATCTTTCTGCAAATGGCTTCTGAAAACCCTATTGTCAAAATTATTCCTAAGTTCAAGTTTTTTGTGTTACTAAAATTAGGAAATTAGAGTGCAGTTAAGGTAATTTATCAAGCATTTATCGATTGACACTTTTATACTCAGCAACATATGGGAACAATTAATATGAAGGCAAATACAATGAACCTTGCCATTAAGAAGTCTGCTCCTGTCACACCTACCATGTCCCCATCTTCTAGATCTACTGCTGCCTCTCCTTCTTTCTTATTATGTTTTTTTTTTTTAAATTGTCACCATTCCTATCCACTACTGCCGTTTCCATTTCCACTATCCAGTAAGAGATGTTGTAAATGATAGTAAATTAAAGGTGGAAAGCAAGGAGGAGCTGGACTGTATTTTTTTGGTCCAGGTAAGCAGTCTCCCATGTGAGGCTAGAATATTCACCAGCAAGTGGTGTCATGGATTCATAGGAATATGGACACCAGCATATATTCTAGCACAAAAGAGCTTTGGCACTGCAAACTCACTGTGTTTTTGTTCTTGTCTGAATCTAGGCCACAGTTCTAGGCCTTTTTAGGTGTCTTGAACTCCATGGTGAATATCCTGACATTCCTATATTCCTCCTAGACTGTTGTATTCATCTCTCCAACTCAGCAACTGCTGACATCTGCATTCTGCAGGAAAGTGCCCCCTTCTAAAGCAACCACAGTGTCTTCAACTGTCCCTAGAAAGCCCTACTTCTTTTAGGATCTAAGTTTGATTCTCCACCAAACTTATTTTTTGTTTTGGTCATACCAAAAAGAATGAGTGGAAAGTAAATTCCTAAATAGCTGCTTTACCTCAAGTATGCAGCCGTGGCCTATAAGCACTTGAAGTTGCATTGATGTCCCTGTGTGAATATGGATGTGAACATATGGATGTGAAGAAGGAAAGAATCATAAGCACATTGAAGGATTGTCCCTAGTTAAACACCAAACAGAGGTGGTACCTGTTTACCTCTGAATGAAGGAAGCCTCACTATCAGAAGGACCCATTTTCTTACCTCTCTGGCAATGTTTTCTTTTTCCAAATAACTTTCCGTGGCCTGCTGTTACGTGCTAGTCTTGAATCACTTCTTCTTATATAAGGACCATCATCCCAGACCACTCTCTTTATCTCAACTCCCAACATGTAATCACTAATTCATTTTGCTTTACCTCCTCAATATATTTTTCAAACCCATGTTTTATCCTCCATCTGTCTACTTCTAATATAGTTTATCATTCCCCATCTTGACTATTGCAATCAGGGCCACTGCTGATATTTTCAGGGCTCACACAAGAGTATAAATGTCCCACCCTCTCTCAAATAGCCCTCCCTCTTCCCCAACTGTGAGGGGTCTCTGGTACACGTAAGTGGACAACTTGGCCTACATAGCCAAGTCATGCCCACGACATCCCCCATGACCCTTACCCAACTCCATTGTCCTTTGGGTTAAGGTGCGTATATAGGCAGTATAGGCCACCCTCAATATCATGGACCTGGGGAACGGACCTCTGATGTAGTGGAAGGGGTATCGGCACAAGGGATTTTGGGTGCTAGTTCCTGAAGAATATTCTAGAATGTGGGAAGGGGTGGTAAGATGGGCTGTCACTGACCATGTCATCTCAGCCCTACAGATATTCACCTACTGGGGAGAGAGACACCCAAGGCAGGGCCAGAGCACAGCCTTTTCAAGTGTGGGGCCTGCGGAAGGAATCTTAGTTGGCTGTGTTCAAGGGTGATACTGAGGCAGTGGCTTCATTCTTTCACTCTGTTAAGGTTTTATTCATATTTTACCCAGAGTAATCTATCGAAACACAGATATGACTTTTCTCCTTAGAGCTTATTAGTATCTCCCATCACTTACTAAGTCAAAACTCTTTAGTATATTCTACAAGACAGCCATGGTCTACCTACTTCTCCACACTCATGTTTTATATTTTATCCATGCAAACTGCTTATTGTTTTCCACGTACCTCATGCTTCTGCATGCCCCTGCATCAGTCTGTGACGTTACTGCATGCGCCTCGAGTGTTTTTCAGCCCCTTTTTTACTCGCCTGTATTTTCCTCATTAAAAGTCAGTTCTAGGCTAGGCGCTGTGGCTGATGCCTGTAATCCTAGCACTCTGGGAGTCCGAGGCGGGCAGATCCCTGAAGCTCCGGAGTTTGAAACCAGCCTGAGCAAGAGTAAGACCCCGTCTCAACTAAAAGTAGTAAGAAATTAATTGGCCAACGAAAAATATATAGAAAAACTTAGCCAGGCATGGTAGCACATGCCTGTAGTCCCAGCTACTCGGGAGGCTGAGGCAGAAGGATTGCTTGGGCCCAGGAGTTTGAGGTTCCTATGAGCTAAGCTTAAGCCCCCACACTCTAGCTCGGGTAACAGAGTGAGACTCTGTCACAAGAAAAAAATAAAAGATCAGTTTTAGTCTCTTAGGAAGTTTCTCAGGCTGGTTACTTCTATGATAACTTTCACATTTTATATTGAAATTGTCTCTTTGAATCTCTTTTCCTACTGGACTTTAAGATAGGAACTATATATTGTTCAGTTTTGTACTTACATTTATAAAACAATGCCTGGTGCGTATTAGGTCCTCAGAGAGTGTTTGCACAGAACTGATGGTATATGTACTGTCCCTGCGTGCTCTAACTTGATATTCAGAATAGCTCCTTATTTTGATCAAAGGTCTCAGAGTAATTTATAAATATGCTAATATTCTCTTGGTACTTAGGTACATTTGGTGTAATATAATTTGGCATACTCATGTCATTACAATTCATTCCTTTGTATAAAAAAGAAAAGATAACTTTATGACTGTAGAGAATTTGGAAGCCTTGAATTTTTTCTCAGGGCAACTACCAGGGAGAGGCCTATTTTTATGGTATAACTAGAGCAACTCTGCCTGTGTTTATTTTACACAATCAGCTGCTCAGTAAGATGTATTTTGAATAAAAGTCTCTTTGAGTCAATATGTGCTAAAAAATGTTACTCTAGAAATCTAACTCCAATTTTTACATTTAAGATCTTTGCTCTGTCCAAAATGTTCTGTATGGGTTTCTCAAGCATGCCAGTTCAATTCCCAACTCCTTTCATTTGCCTCATTTTCCCCGGGAATGAAGAGCAATACTCTCTTCTCTGTTCTCTGTCAAAGGAATGGTGCACCTTAGATTTACACTCAAGTTTAAAACTGTTTCCTCTCTAAAGTCTCTCTGGCAGGTCTACTTTCACCTCTAAACTCCTGCAGTATTTTCTTTTTCTAGCACGATTTTGGTATGTAACATGTTCTAATTTTTGTTTTACATACATGTGCTAAATCTTCTTTCTATGAATTGGTCTCCAGTTTTGCATTCATATTCTACAACATTTGCATTCAAAGCTTCAAATATACTACCAGTTACTTTATAAGCACGTATAAGCATCTCTTGTTGATAAATGCTGAATTTAGAAATATAGTAGATTTTGATTTTTTAAGATAAAGTCATTAACATGTTTTAGTCTTATTTCTGAAACACTTTACCAGTTGTATTTATTTAAAATATGTTGGAAATTTTTTTAAAGAGATTTTTTGTCCAGAACCACCACGAATCAAGCATGGAAGAGTAAGTACAGGAAGAGAGGAACGTTATGTATATAATCACATTGTAAGGTACTCGTGTGACGAAGGCTATTCCTTGGTTGGAGAAGACTATATTCAGTGCTCTTTAATAAAGAATGAGGGAGTTTGGAGTTTCCCAGGACCTACATGCGAAGGTAATAATGTTTTGTATAGTGATATTTTTGCTTTATTCTTATATTTAGATCTATATAGGGACTGCAGAGATTCTGTGTACTCCCTGAAAAATGAATGTAAAATGTTTTTACATGCATTTTTCTATGGGACACAGTTTTTCATCACATTCTCAGAGGGGTCTATGGCATTATACACATACATATATATGACTACATATGTAAAATATCTCATTTTTATCAAATAAGCTTAAATTTGCTGCTTCATGCCATGTTACTTTCAGTACATTAATAGAGACAGCTCTTTGTTCATAAAAAGAGTGTATGAAGTGATTTATTAAATTGGAGGAGGAATCTTACATTGAACTCAGAGCTCTCGGGTAGTGATGTACATGTTGTGACAACTGAGAAGCTCTTGCTCTTGTCTTGTCGATGTCATTGCATTACATTCAATTATTTTATGCCTCCAGAATTTCTCTGTATTATTGACCATTCTCTCTTCTTTATCCTTCTAGACTTTTTTCCTCAACATCTCTTGATACCCAGTCTGTACTGTCAGAATCCTTAGAACTGCTTTTTAGATATATTTCACAATTGCAAAGATGTGAAAACAACCCAAGTGTCCATCATTACATGAGTGGATTAATAAAATGTGGTATATAGATACTATCGAATACTAATCAGCTACAAAAAACAATTGTGAATTAGCAACTCTTATATGATCCTGGATAGAGATTGAGCCCATTCTTCAAAATGAGGTATCACAGGAATTGAAAAACATGCACCACATGTACTCGCCATCAAATTGGTACTAACTGATCAACACTAAGGTGTTCACATGGTAGTAATACTTATTGATTGCCAGGCAGGTGGGGTGGTTAGGGGTGGTAAACCTACAACTAATGGAAGCAGAGAGCACTGTATGGGGGAAAGACATGCTTGTAGCCCTGGCTGGGTGATGCAAATGCATTACATGTAGCCAAAATGTTTGTACCCCCATAATATCCTGAGTTAAAAAAATATATATATATATTTTAAAGAGCTAATTTAAAAGATCCATAAAGCTGGATTAAACATTGTTAGTACCACTAGGTGGCATGTGTTTAAGTAATGATGAATGCCAACGTGTATCAAAAGTATACTTTTATAATTATAATTAAAATTCTATTAGCATGAATTTTTAAAAATTATTGCTTATTAAAAATAGTTTACTATCAATTTTCTACATAAATATAGTGATATAATTAAAACCATGTAGATGAGTATAAAATGAGAAGTAATAATCTCTTCTCTATCTCTAGTCCTATTCTCAGCAATAGCTATTTTTTATAAGTTGTTATGTTTCATTCTAGATTATAAACGTACAGATACTTCTTTTATTTATCATAGCAGTTGTATGGAGACAACATTTATGTAACTAATCCTCTATGGGAATTTAGGATTTTGGATCTAATTTGTTTTTTATACATTATTACAAATGTTGTTACAATAAATATTGTACATGTGTCATTGCACACGTGTGCAAGTACATTTGTACAATATATTCCTCCCAGTGTAATTACCATAGCAAAGGTCAATGCTTTTAATTTTTTTTTTTTGAAACAGGGTCTCTATGTCTTGGCCTACAGTGCAGTGGTGTTATCATAGCTCACTGCCAACTCAAACTCCTTAGCTCAAGTGATCCTCCTGCCTTAGCCTCCTGAGCATCTTGGACTTGAGGCGTGCTCTACCACGCCCAGCTAATTTTCATATTTTTTGTAGAAATATGGTAGTGCTGTGTTGCTCAGGCTGGTCTCAAACTCCTGGCCTTAAGCGATCATCTCCCCTGAGCCTCCCAAAGTGTTAGGATTACAGGCCTCAGCCACCACAGCTGGGCCATTTACATTTTTCATAGCTGTTGGCAGCATAATTTTCAAAGAGATTGTACCAATTTACTCTCTCACTAATATTATTACATCATTATGCTATTTGTACCTTTGATGATAATGATTATTATGGTGTGGAGATTTGATAAGTGTAAGTGGTGAAAATTTTATTGCTTGCACTCATTTCACTATGATAAAGTGTAGCGTTGTATGTGTTTATAATTAGGCAATTTATTTGATCTATTTTGTATTTATTTTCCCTAATTTTATCAAATTGTCAGTTATTTAGATCTTAAAACTAAGTGGTAGTAAAAAGGGATTCTTTTCCCCAGCGTATGTTTTTGTCTGCTTTGTCAAAGATTAGATGGCTATATGAGGATGGTTTTATATTAGGATTCTCAGATCTGTTCCACTGGTCAATATTCCTATTTTTGTGCCAATACCAGATTGTTTTAATTACTGGAGCTTTGTAGTATAGTTTGATATCTGGCATATTAATACCTCCCATTTTGTTTTTGTTGCCTAGGATTGCTTTTGATATTCGGGGTCTTCTCTGATTCCATATGAAGCGTAAAATTATTTTTTCTATATCTGTGAAGAATGCTGATGGGATTTACATGGTAAGCCATTGAACTGTAGATCATTTGGTCAGTAAAATTACGACATTTTATGCATGTTGAGTCGCGACGCCACGAGGCATGGTATGGATCTGTACTGTTTACTTCCTCTGCTATTCCTTCTTCAGGTTTCATAGTTCCCCCCTTAAGGCTTTACTCCCTAGTATCCAATTCTTTGTTGGCTATGTGAAGGGAAATTGAGTCTTTCATTTGTCTCCATTTGATTGTTTGGCGATAGAATGCTCGATTTCCCCCTGTGCTGGGAAGAAACTGATAGTCACTGTAGAGGCTGAAGCAGACCCAACACCTTCACCCCTCACAAAAATCAACTCACTCTGGAAGACAGACCTTAAACCTAAGGAATAACTATTAAACTCCTAGAGAAAATGTTGGAAACACCCTAGACACGGCCTTGGCAAAGAGTTATGAAAAGTCCCCCAAAGGCAATCATCAGCAGCAACAAAATAATAAAGACCATGACAAACTGAAAAGCTTTGATAGCCAATGAAATACGTCATAAAATTAAACAGACACACCTACAGAATGGGAGAACTTTTTGCATCCCTACGGCCTGATAAGGGCTGATAACTAGAATCATCTTAGAACTCACAAATCAGCAAAAAATCAATAACCCTAATTGAAAGTGGGCAATCAAGACTTGACGCAGAAACCTTTAAAAAGAACAGAAGAATGGCCAACAAACTATGTAAAAAATGCTCAACAGTCCCTAATCACCAGGGAAATGGAAATCAAACCCACAATGAGGAAGAATCACTTAAACCTCCCAGTGAGAATGCCTTCTATCAAGTCTCCAATACACAAACTGCCGGCGTGGTGTGGAAGGAGAGAACACCTCCTACACTCCCTGTCGGGACGGCAGACTATCAACTCCGTGGAAAGCAATATGGAATACCCTTAAGCATATACAAGTGGATCTACATTTGATGCCAGCATCCCATACTGGCCCCATCCACCCAAAAAACCAATACACTCTACAATAAAACCACCTCCACCAATGTTATAGCAGCAAGCAATTCATATTGCAAAGGCTGTGAAACAGCCGAGTCCCATCGTCAAGAATGGATTATACATCGTGGTAACAATACCATGGGAACTATCCAGTCCAAAAGAAACCAACAGATGATATAGCACATCTTATATTTTCCTGGTTAGAGCTGGAACCCATACTACTAAGTGAAGTATCCCAAGAATGGAAAAACAAACACCACATATACTCACCAGCAAACTGATATTAACTGAGCAGCACCTAAACCGACACATAGGAACTACAGTAATTGGGTATCCAGCAGGTGGTAGGGGGGAGGAGGGCGGGTATATACATACAAAATGAGTGAGATATGCACCATCAGGAAGACCCTCACGCTGGAAGCTCAGACTTGTCTGGGGAGGGGGGAGGGGCACTTTTTGAAACCTTAAAATTTGTACCCCTATAATATGCCGAAATAAAAACCAAAAAACTAAGTGGTAGTTAAAATTACCTGGTAGTTCAAGTAGGTCATGGCAGCCAATGCTTCTATTAAAACAGCTATACAATCTGCATACATTTTTTAAAAATCGAACTTTTAAAGACATAAGATACAGCTGTGGAAAAACTAGGTTGAATGAAGTAAAATTCCTGTGGTAGGAAATGAAGGCAAAGCAATCTGATCTGAGTCAGTTGTATTTTTCCCTGGGGCCATTTGCTGATTCTGAACCTGGGCTGAGGGTCCATCTTGACCCAGACAAAAGACCATTTCCAGGAAAGACAGAAACCAGCAAAACTTTTAATGGTTGTGGAAGGCTAGAGTAGTAGTACACTGGAAATTGAGGTCCTCACATGCAAAGCCAATTTTTTCCACTGGCCATTAGCTGATTTCTAGGGCTGCATTTGAGCCTGGGAAGCTGGCTCCAGTGATTCTACCATGCCCAGTAAGATCTCAGAACCTGGTAGTATTTGGACAACAAGTGCCCATGAGAGGAACAGGCCTTTAGCAAGCACACGTCCACACTCCTCCGTAGGACACCTGTGCTCATTATGAAGCTGTGTGGGGAAGGAGGCTAGATGGCTGGGCTGGGGGAACTATAAAGCACAGACCTGGATCTCCTGCAGTCTTTCAGGGCTGAGGCAACAAAGATGCATCTGGCTCTCCAGCCAAAGCCCAGAAGGGCCACTCCCAGGGAACAGAGACAAGAGCAGAGGAAGCCTGAATCTTACTCAAACTGTAACCCAGCTCAATGCCTGACAGGTTGAAGAGACAATCATCTCAATACAATCTGCCTATCATATCTTATGGTACCATCTGGATGCTTATATACAATGTCTGGCATATAAGAAAAAACTATTAGATATGGAGAGAAGCAAGAAAATATCACCAAATCAAGAGAAAACCGAATGAAATAAAGAAGATCCAGATAACTGAGTTAGCTGACAAGGACTTTAAAATAAGTCATTAATATGTTTAAGATAGTAAAAGAAAATTTAGAGAACTTCAGCAGAAAATAGGATCTCCCCAAATGGAGTAAAATGACCAACGTATCACTGGAAAATATCTGAAATTAAGAACACAATAGATAGGTTTTCACAGTGACTTGGACACAGTGGAAGCAGTATAACGAACTGGAAGACAGGTTAATTAAAACTGTCCAAACTGAAGCAGAAAGACAAAAAAATGTAAACTATAGGAATAAGTTTGAGACATTAAAGACATGTTAAGCTGTTGTAACACATGTTAGAAAGAGAGGAGACAGAGAGAAGGTGAGAGATGACAAGAAAGAGGTGGAGGAGGAGGAAGAGAAAAGACAAATGGGAGCAGAAGAAATTTTCAAAAAGATAATGACTGACAATTGTCTAAACCTGGTGAAATATATCGGCCAACAAATTCAAGAAGCTCTGTGACTCTAAGCAGAATAGAAACAACTCACTTCAAGGTGCCCCATAGGAAACCTTTGGTAACTCAAACAATGATAAGACTACTCAGAGATTAAAAATAAACAAACAAAAGAAACCATTGTAGGAGCAACAGTATAACTGATCACTTTCTCAACAAAAAATTGGTGCAAGCCAAAAGACAAGAAGAAATCTTGAAATACTGTAAGAGGATTACTGTTCATCCAGAATTCTATGCCCGATGAATACATTCTTCAAAACTGAATGCAGAATAACGATGTATTCAGACTAAAACTGAGGGAACTTGTCACCAGCAGGCCTGACCTGTACAGAGTGAAAAACTAAAGGAAATTCTTCAAGTAGAGTGAAAATAATGCCAGGTAGAACAAAACACGAAAATGCAAGATGAAATGAAGAACTTTTGCAAGAGTATATGAACACTTGAGTTTACAGAACAATTAATCTGATGTCTTTTGGGTTTGAATTATATTTAGAATAAAAATGTACCATTTTAATAAAGCAAAAGTCAAAAAGATTAAGTCAGTGTAGAAGTTATAAGATTCTAGCAGTATTTAAAAAGTGGTAAAAGT